CCCCCGCCAGCCAATCAGAGCGACTATATGCAAATTCACCCAACCAAGATGGCAGCCGGCAGCCATGGAGCTGGAGCAAGCAGGAGGCTTGGTTGCTCCAGCAATGGAGGAAGCCATTCTTCCCGCTTGCCCTGGCTGGCTGTGGCCTCCACTCAAAGCAACAAAGTTTCAATCATAGAAGATAAATAAATCCCAGATACCTGCTTCCAGCCAGCCTCCACAGGGAGCTTGAGTGGCTGGGGGCTGTGGCCAGCCTGAAAACAGCCATCAGCCCCTCACCCAGACTGGCCAGGCACCCCAGCAGGACCCCCCACCCTGAAAGGGGTGTGGCCAGCCTGAAAACAGCCATAAGCCCCTCACCCGGGCTGGCCAGGCACTCAATCGGGACCCCCACCCTGAAGGGGGTGTGGCCAGTCTGAAAATGGCCCTCAGCCCCTCATCCATTCTGGCCAGGCACCCCAGCGGGACCCTCACCCTGATCTGGGACACCCTTCAGGGCAAACCAGCCAGCCCCCACCCATGCACCAGGCCTCTATCCTATATAATAAAAGGGTAATATGCAAATTGACCCTAACAGCAGAACAACTGGGAATGACTGGTCATTATAATACACACTGACCACCAGGGTGCAGACACTCAATACAGGAGCTGCCCCCTGGTTGTCAGTGTGCTCCCACAGGGGGAGCTCTGCTCAGCCACAAGCCAGGCTGACAGCTGCCAGTACAGTGGTGATGGTGGGAGCCTCTCCCGCCTCAGCAGCACTAAGGATGTCTGACGGCAGCTTAGCCCTGCTCCCTGCTGGCAAGTGGACATCCCCCGAGGGCTCCCGGGCTGCCAGAGGGATGTCTGAATGCCAGCTTAGGCCCAATCTCCCAGGGAGTGGGCCTAAGACAGCAGGTGGTCATCCCCTGAGGGGTCCCAGACTGCAAGAGGGCACAGGCCAGGCTGAGGGACCCCCCCGAGTGCACAAATTTTTGTGCACTGAGCCTCTAGTCTATACTAATAAAAGGGTAATATGCTAATTAGATTGGGTGAACCAGACATCTTCCAGATGTCCGACTTCCTTCTGGACATAGCCATGATGGTGGGGGCCCAGGCAGAGGCGGTTAGGGGTGATCAGGCTGGCAGGGGAGGGGGCGATCAGGTTGGCAGGGGAGCAGTTAGGGGGCAATCAGGCCAGCAGTCAGAGGCAGTGAGGGGCGATCAAGCAGGCGAGCAGTTAGGAGCCAGTGGTCCCAAATTGCCAGAGGGATGTCTGACTGCTGGCCTAAACCAGCAGTCGAATATCCCCCGAGGGGTCCCAGATTGGAGAGGGTGCAGGCTGGGCTGAGGGACCCCCACCCCACACACAAATTTCATGCACCGGGCCTCTAGTGTATTTATAATGGTGTATTAGAGTCATCTCATCCCTGCTCTCTAGAACCAAATGTTAAATATTCAAACATTTTGTGAGATGGTTGTCAAACTATTGGTAGTTTAAAATTAACCATAATGGGATTATTTATATTATGGAAATAAGTTATTAATCAGATTTTTGAGAAGGGAGGGAATCCTTGGTCTAGTTATGAGTATATATAGAAATATTTATATTTATCAGACCTGTGTAAATATAGTTCATATTATTAGGTTGTCCACTAAGGAGATCTAGAAGAAAAAAAGCCCTAGTAGGAATGAGCATTCCCAGATCATAGATATTGGTTTCTAAATATCACTTCTTACTAAAGTGACCAAAGCTCCTTGAGAAATGACTGATTCAAGCCTCAATCAGGGGAAATAAAGAGAAACCTAAAATTTTCTCATGCCAGGAAGCAAGGAAGTGCAAACAAGAACAATGAGAGGTAAAGCCCAGCTGGTGTGGCTCAGTGGTTGAGCATTGACCTATGAACCAGGAGATCATGGTTCAATTTTTGGTCAGGACACATGCCTGGGTTGCGACCTTGATCCCCAGTAGAGGGTGTGCAGGAAGCAGCCAATAGATTATTCTCATCATTGATGTTTCCATTTCTCCCTCTCCTTTATCTCTGAAATCTATTCAATAAGAACATATTTTTTAAAAATGATAGGTAAAAATGATACTGGACACTCTGTATACTAGTATATGCCATTATACATTTGTCAAAACCCTAGAATGTGTAATACCAAGAGTGAACCCTTATGTAAACTATGAACTTTGTGTGGTAATCATGTGTTATTATATGTTCACTAGTTATACAAATGATCCACACCTGTGAGGGATTTTGATAGTCAAGGAATCTGTGTATATGTAGAGGAAGGTGGCATATTAAGTCTTCTGTGGAATTTTGATGTGAACCTAAAACTACCCTAAAAAAGTATATTGTAAAAATAAAATATTAAGATGAAAGAAGAAAGAACCCCAGAGCCCACTTAAAGGAACTCCAGTGAACAAATCTAAAAGAATTTGATCACACAAAAAAAATGTAAGAGAGTAAATTTATAATATATAAGATTATATTGACATAAATAAATAAATAAATGAGAGAGAACAGAAAACTTTACAATGAAACAGCCTATATAATAAAAGGCTAAAATGCAAATTGTCCCCTCGGGAATTTGACCAACCATGAGTTCGCCTGCTTGTTATGACGTGTGCTGACCACCAGGGGGCAGCGTGGAATGAAAGAAGGTCCCAATCAGCCATGATTGCCAGCCAGGCCTAGAGACCCTACCCATGCAGAATTTTGTGCACCAGGCCTCTAGTCAATTTATAAATGTAGAAGAAATGATGGAATTAGAATGTCATAATTTTGCAACCACCATGGTAATAATGAATAGTCTAAAACCATCCATTATGATAAAACTAGTAGGTGAAAGTTTCAAGAGAAACAGAATATTTAGTTAGTCTGAAAGGCTTCCCCCCAAGTTACTTATTAATTACAAATGAAAAATAAAACTTTATAGTAGGTTAAGCTAGTGAACACAATTTTAACCAAGTGTTCCAAGTTAAGGTGGTCAACTGCCTCTGAGCCTCCCCATCACTGCCCCTCTGAAGCATGCCTTGTTTACCTTTATGGGAGTCTGTTTCTTTGGAATTCTGAGAGTTAATCATCAGCTGAAGTAAATCCACTCGGTGCTGGAAGCAGAAGGAAAACTTTCAATGTTAGAAATAAATCAAGAGTTCAGTACAGTGGGGCCTTGACTTAGGAGTATCCCGACTTACAAGTTTTTTGAGATACCAGCTGTCTCTCAGCCAATTTTTTGCATTGAGTTGATAGAGTAATTTGAGTTAATGAACTCCTTAATGAGCTCGGTCTCGCAACGAATTAAGCTCGTAAATCAAGGCCCCACTGTACTAACCCTAGCTGGTTTGGCTCAGTACATAGAGTGTTGGCCTGCAGATCCAAGGGTCCCGGGTTTGATTCTGGCCAAGGGCACATAACTTGGTAGCAGGCTCCTCCCCAGCCCAGGCCATGGTCCAGGCTTGTGCAAGAGGCAACCA